GCCGCCCCGCTTATTCCCCCCCCCCCCCCCCGGGAGACCGACACCGGAGCAAAACAAAGCCCCGGCCGGGCCGCGGGCTGATGTTTTCCCTCGCACGGAGGGTTTCCTTGGTAAAATTCAGATGTTTCCTTGGGTCTCGATTAAAATAACAAAGCGGGGTATTTACTAGGATGTTATTTCAAGTCTCTTAAGTCCCCGCTTATGTCTGTTGCGATTTCTCCGCAAATACAAAAACAAGCGCTGCGATGATTTATTCGAAGGAATGTAGGTGCTGGCGCCAAAACAAACACGGGTTCTTTCCCCCCCCCCCAGCCCCCCCAAAGAATCGCTTCTCCAGAGCATTTGTCACTCGGGTTTCTCTCCGCCGGAATTCTGCAGGTGCTTTTATCACGATATCACGGGGGGGGTTGTGGTGCCCACCAGCCGGGTACGTCCACGCACAGCTCCCGGGACAACGTCCCCAGGAATCCCCGTCCCACCGGGCCCCATGGCCTTCGCAGGCCTCGCACAGCACCTTGTTGTGTCCTGTACACACTTTGCACGGGGCTCGCACGGCCCTTGCACAAGCTGTCATGGTGTTGGCACGGTGCGGCCACTCAGCAGTTAGTGGCCACCGAGTGCCCTCAGCCAGCCGGGGCAAGAGGCAGAGGAAAGAGGAAGGGCAGGCAGAGGAAGGTTTCATGAATTGTTCTTTTTTTTTTCTCTCAACCCTTGTTAAATCCAGCCTGATGCTCTTCAGACACTAAAGGTCACTTTAAAAGAGCATCCAACAAGACCTTCCATTCCCAGATGCCTCGTTCTCCCCTGGGCAGGGTGGTGGGACCCCAGTTGGGTGCCCTCACAGCACCGGAGCAGGCGGCAGCGGGGCTGAGTGTTCAAGGGCAGCCCTTCCTGAGGATGGGCAGGCTAAAAGCCCCCCCGTCCTGTCCTGCACCTCTCACTCCCACCTCCACCAGCAGCCCCAGACCCATGGACTCTGCTCCTGATGTCCCCAGAGCAGGGGTACAGCAGTGCTCCACTCCCAGCGCTGCCCAGGGAAGGAACCAGAAGGGTCAGCAGAAGGATGGCAGGATGACGCAGTGGGAAGGGCTGGTGAGCTTTAGAAAACGGGGAGACAAGTCTGTCCATAAACCTCTGGGCTTCTTGCAAGGGTTTCTGGACTCTCCTGCCCGGAACCCTTTCACACGGCCAGTTTCACGGGCAACGGTGAAAGGCACAAAAATGGTGGGTGCGGGTACCAAATGGTGTGGGCCGTGCCCTGGGCCACCTGGGGCTGTACATCCTGCCACATGTGAGGAACCCCAGGATTCGCCAAATTCCCAGGGACTGGAACTATCACTGCATTTTTTTCCATGCACCTTTTGAAACTTAAAATTGCATTGAACCAACAGCCAGCCAGGCTGTGCCTTCTGGTTTTCTTTCTCCCCAACACTTTTGCCCCAAGGCCTGTCCTCTTCTCAGCCCCCAGGGTGGGCAGCAGGGCCAAATCCCTGCTTGGTGCAAGCCAGCGGAGCTGAGCTATAGGTTCCTCCGCTGTGGTTCCCACCACGCCATCCTCATCCTCGTTCACAGCTGTCCCCAGGGCAGAGCCGTGTGCTGCTGGGTGATGACAGCCAGCTCCCTGTCCTCACCATCTGTACGAAGAGCCAAACACAGGCGCGCACATACCCACAGAACCCGAAGTGACACGTGGCACACGTGGCCACACCAGCTGGGACACACACACACACACACACACACAGAATCACAGAATCACAGAATCTTCTAGGTTGGAAGGGACCTTAAAGATCATCTTGTCCAACCGTCAACCTGACTGACAAAAATAGACACCCACACAACAAACAAGGAGCATCATCACTAAACCATACCTCCCAGCACTACATCAACCCGTCTTTTGAACACCTCCAGGGATGGGGCCTCAACCACCTCCCTGGGCAGCCCATTCCAATGGCTGATAACCCTTTCAGTGAAAAAATTTTTCCTAATATCCAGCCTGAACCTCCCCTGGCACAACTTGAGGCCATTTCCTCTTGTCCTGTCACCTGTGACTTGAGAAAAGAGACCGGCCCCCACCTCTCTACACCCTCCTTTCAGGGAGTTGTAGAGAGCAATAAGGTCTCCCCTCAGCCTCCTCTTCTCCAGGCTGAATAACCCCAGTTCCCTCAGCCTCTCCTCATAAGACTTATTCTCCAGACCCCTCACCATCTTTGTCGCCCTTCTCTGGACCCGCTCCAGCACCTCAATGTCTTTTTTATGGTAGGGGGCCCAAAACTGGACACAGTACTCAAGGTGAGGCCTCACCAGTGCCGAGTACAGGGGGAAACACACAGGTGGGTACACAAACCCAAGAAGCAAATCCTGCCCGGCCGTGCCAGAGGGCAGACGTGAAATCCCCCAGCCCATCCTCTCAACCACACAAGGTCTATGGAGGTGCAAGAGTGCCGAGTTTCCCATCTGTTCTCCATCGTAGCTTTGTCTAAACCCTTTTGGGCTTTCTTGAATTTCCATCAGCCCAGCCCAGCCCAGCTGCAGGACCTTCCCAAGCCGCCCCAGCCCTGCGCAGCTCCTGCCCCCAGCCCTTCCCCGCTCCGAGGACGGGCTCCCTTCTCTCCCGCTGCAAACCTTTTGCGCGTAATTTCACCCTGGCAAAGAGCCACCTTCTACCAGCCCCCTTTCCAAAACCAAATTAGCACGCTGCTGCAGCAGCAGAAATTGGAGAGGAAAGGCTGCAGTTTTATTTTACAACTCAATTAGCAAGTTTATACAGAAAAAACACCCGTATAACCGAAGGAGATTTTATGTCCATCCGGCTTCTCCGGCAAATAGACTTGTTCCTCTTGAGGGCACTCCCCATTGCTGTGGGTACAACGGTGTGCTCCTGCCCATGGTGGCCCTCAACCAATGTGGTGATGCTGGCTCTGGCCTTGCTCACTTGCTCCATCTCTCTTTGCTCTTACACTTAAAAATCCCCTGGGTACTTCCGGCACAGACTGGAAAACATGGCTCTGAGACTGTCCAATCGTGCTGTTCACTAAGTATTAAGGGAACCAGAAGTCTGCCAGAACCTACGATAAAGGGCTACATTTGCCTCTGATTTTTCCCTAAGAACCTGTCCCAAATAACACGAAGCCACCAGGTGCATTCCCAGGAGGGATCCTGACTCCTGTACGCAGCTTGCGCTGTGTCCCATCATGGTCTTTCCCTTCCTTCACCAAGAGGCTCTTTTGGGCAGGTTTTTGGAAAGAAGTGGGCAGTCAGATCACCAAGCCTGCTTATTTTACTGGGAACATTTTTGTGATGCTGATTCCTTCAGCATGAGGAAGGAATCGTTTCTGCCTGGCTGACACTTGAACTTCTCCCCTCCATTGCAATGTCCCTCCATCTGCTCCCTCTCTTGGTCCCCAGCAGTGCCCTGCTTGCCCTCCTGCATTGTCCGTGGTGGTTGGGGACCTTTGCATGTGGAGCATTGATTCACTTCCTTGCGTGGGGCTGAGCCCAGGTCAGGGTTGACTCTCCTACCACAGCTATATGTTCTTCTGCAGCTGAGGGCAAGGTCCCAGTCTGGGACTCTTGCATGCCAAAGAGGAGCTACCCTACAGATGCTCTTCAGCAAAGCAAAGAAGAGTGTATTTGCTTTAACCAGAACCCCACCAGCTATGTAAGACCACCTCTCAAAGGATGAAACTGAGGCAGAAAAGGAAACTCTCAAGCCATAACCATGTACCTGGTGTCACAGCCATGTTCCCACAGCCCTGCGCCTCCACAGATGTTCACCTTTCCTGTCATCAGCACTTTTCCATGGAATAAAAATAAACTGCGGTGACAAACCCCCTCCACGCTTCAAAACTGGAGGTGTTTGTGGCTGTTTCCATTAGCTAAGCCAGTGGGGCTCAACCACATTTGCAAGTCTTGAGCAAGTTCAGCGTGGTCAGAGTATTGATGCCAGTAGTTATTTGGAAGAATATGTTTTCATGTAGTGACCACACAAGAAGCCCCTTGTGGCTCCGTTTAACAAATGTCTTCTAGCGAGATGGCTACAAGTGACGGCAAGACCAGCTCAGCAAGTAACCAAGCAACAGCATCATTTTCTTTCCAAATCTTCCAGCGGTTCCTTCCAAACCTTACTTAAACTGAAGCCAAGCTGAATTCTTCCTGATTGTCTGCATGGGGATAGCCCAGGAAGATAAGACAAATCAGGGTACAAAGTCCATGCATGAAACACCAGATGGAGTCAAAGACCCCATCGGGCTGCTTTCCTCCGGGCCCAGAGACCTTATGTCACCACAATCTGGATTTCTAAAGCTACACTTGTTTCCTGATTGTCTGCATGGGGATAGCCCAGGAAGATAAGACAAATCAGGGTACAAAGTCCATGCATGAAACACCAGATGGAGTCAAAGACCCCATCAGGCTGCTTTCCTCCGGGCCCAGAGACCTTACGTCACCACAATCTGGATGTCTAAAGCTACACTTGTTTCACATCACTTTCTATTTGAGCACTATAGCTAGGGGACAGGAGACTTATGGAAACACTTTGCTGAGAGTTCAGTCCTTCTGGAAACATCAAAAGCTTCTTAGATTAGACTTTCCATTCCCCTGGGGGGAAATTGTCCTATTCAGCATCTGGCATAAGCCACCTGAAGATAGCATGCTCAGTCAATTTTTAAAAAAAAGCCTGTTTGCTTTTTGAAAAGTGCAGAGTCAGCAGATAATTTGTCAATGCACCAAGCCACAAACACAGAGTCAGGGCCGTGACTCAGCCCAAGTGTCCTCATGGTGGTAGTCTCAGCTAGCGTCTGGTTGGAAGGGGTGGAATTCACCTTGCTTCATTTTGGCTTCTTTTTCAGTCGAACTAATCACCTTCCTCCCATTAATAGTTATGGAAGAGAGAGCTGTGCCTCCAGAAGTGATTCCTACAGCATTAACCAAAGAGCCCAGCTGCAACAGCTGTTACAGAGGTTTTGGTCTGCCCGTGCAGAAGGACCTCAGCTGCCTCCCCAGCCCTGGCTGTCCATGTGAGATGTCACCAGGGGAAGTACTCTCCTACAGCTCTCCTCAAGCTCTGCTCCGCGCTTCCCTATTTTTACATATTTCACCCTTTGACCTCCACTTGGTCCCCTTTTCTCTCATCTGTCTCCCAGATTATTGCATTTCTTCCCAACTTCTTGTCCTCCAGCTCCCAGCCCCTTTGCAAAGGCTTCTCAGAGCTGGGGCTATCAGCCAGTCCCGACGGGGAAACCTGGCTGGGAGGGTGTCTGCCAGCAGGCACCCAAGGAGCATAAGAAAGGGACCATTGCCCACAGTACTCGACCTCAATCTTTCCAGTTCCCAGCTATTCCCAGGAGACCCCTCCTCTGCCCTCTCCCCATCCCTCCCCAGCCGAGGCTGCTCATGGCTTTTGTGTCAGTCTCACTTCTCAGCCACTTGGGACAGAGAATTTCTCCCTACCAAACCCAAGTCCTTTGCTTTCTATCCCAATGCAAAGTCTGAGCAACAACTCCAGTTCTGGATCACTCCTAACATTCTGGAGGCACTATGAGCTCAGCCACTTGGGACAGAGAATTTCTCCCTACC